GTTTTGTAAGGACGTAAGCACAACTGGCTGCAACTCTTGGTCTCTGTAGTGCACAGCGTTCAGGTTTCCCTGTATAATCACCAAATCAGTCTTCTGATCTCCAAAACACCGCCCCACACCTTGACACCTCCCCCGCCGAATGGATGGACCTCTCGAATACACGCCGGAGCCAAACGTTCCCCTCTGCGTCGATAAACTCGTTCTCTGCCGTCATTTCGAAACAAGTTATACCGACTTTCATCAGTAAACAGCACTCGACGCCAATTTCTCACATGCCAGCGTCGAACCTGCCTCGCCCATCGCAGTCTCAGACGTCGATGTTGAGCGGTCAGTACCATTCCTCGGAAAGGACGATACGCTCGGATTCCAGCAGCACGAAGTCGTAGTACTGTACGTTGGCTAATGGAATGTCCTAACGCTGTTGCTTCCGTTGCCGTTACGAATCTGTTTCGCAGGTGAATGAGCCGTATCTGACCGTCTTCCAGTGGTGTTGTCACTCGAGGTCGTCCGGTTCTAGGCCTGTCCTTTGTCCCCCCTGACTGCCTGTACCGTTGAATCAGCCTGGCTACCGTCAATGGTGTAGTTTTCTGGCAATTCGGACCTGTGTTGCCCCCATTTCGGCCATACCGATGGCTCTCTCTCCCTGTTCCTGTGACAGTCGTGGCATTTCTTTTGTGTGCTTTCATCACGTGTGGTTATACCCTGCAGACGAACGCATTTATACAGCTAACATGCGCGTGTAGTTTATGCCATAGGCGGGAAACCTGTTTCACCATTTTTTTTTGTCACCGCACGAGCGCCGTCAAAGGTGGCGCGTTCGGGTGAGATGTTTTTTGGTACCTGTTCCAGGGCAGTCATATTCCCAATACCAACTTTCCACCAGTTATCGCTGTTTTTAGGAAAATTACAAATTGCCAACCTATACTTTCTTTTGCCGCTTAGTTTAGTTAGCTGGTAAAGGCGTATATAGACGCTTCAGTAAAACACCCAGCATTGATTTAAACATTGATCGTAATAAATTCTATAGGAGAAACTTAGTTCCCGAATCGTGATCCCTTATCTTGAGGAAACTGTTACACCTTTAGTTCACAGTCTTCGTAACACTAACATAAGACGTAATCATATATTTACATATGATTATGCTTACACGACACCCGTGAAGATCCGGGGTAGAATAGGTCTTCCAAAAGCCATGCTTGCCACAAAAGGCGACTATGCTTGTCGTAAGAGGCGACAAACGGGATCGGGTGCTCAGGCTCTCTGACTTTGTTGATGCATGACATCGTATCCCAATTGTGTGGATCGATGCTCATGATGTCACTCACTGGATTGTCTGGTCCAGACTCGATTATATATAGACAGCCGTCATATAGCTGGAATATTGGTGAAATACTATCGCATAGGTAACATAGGTTTGCCTTGAGGGACGGACCATAAACACCCACCCACCCAGTCCCTTATCTGGTCTGTCCGTCCGTCCGTATTTCGACTCGTAGCATAACTTGAAAACCGTGAAAGATATACCATCCAGACTTGGTACATGTATATTAATCAGGGACTAGAATGGTGCCTTTTGCTTTATCGTGGGCCGGGGACACTTATTTTCGAGGGTGAAGGAGGATGTTCCTGGGATATTGAAATGTCATAAAAAAAACACCTTGGGTCTTACAACAAAAAACATTTTTCACATGTCCTCACGTGCGTGTCAATCACAAAGAAAACCAACCCGCTTTCTGTGCGAACTTAGGGGGCACGGGTGGCCCAGTCGTCTGAGGCGCCGCAAGTCTCTGTGATGAGTTGCGGTCCATGGGCACGCAAGAAACCTATATATGAATCCCGTTCGAATCCCAGTTCACTCCGATTATGTTTCTAGGTTTGTAAGCACCATTCCCGCGCTCGTGGGTTTCACCAAATACCTGCAACACTTCGGGCTTTCTTCACACACGCTGACACAGCGTTATAGAACTAGAATACTGGGGTCTAAGGTACTGTCGTACATGCTAGAAAACTGCATTTGCCTGTTAAAAAAGGATATAATCTTTCTCAGACTGTTGTTTTTGAAATATCGAGTAACTACCGATCGCCCTACCTGTGGTTTGAAGTATTTCAGTCACAAGGAGTCCTATCGACAAGTTTACAGGAGAATGATGAGTCCAATGATGACAGTCTGAAACGGACTGTAGAAATATGCGCACGTGACTCCGTTATAATGATAATAATGTAGTCTTCATAAAACATCTAATCCACACACAAAAATCATTTTGAGAAAATTATAGATGTGCATCTTCTAAAATGACAAAATGACACTGCGATTTTTGTTGTTGTTGTTAGTATTGCTCCCATGATGCATGTTACATTTCCCTTGCATAGCCATAACCATGGTACACGATATGGAGTCTGTACTGGGAAATGTGTACAAGTTCTTTACACTTTAGAGAGATAGAGGGAAATCATTTATTAATTTAGATAGGGTGAACTACCGAACAGCCCAAGCTATGGGGTTTTCAATTCATACCATCAAGTCTACGGTATGATAAGAAAACGAAACAGGTATAGAGTGGTCTCAAAAACAAAACTGGGGCGTAAAAGGATATTAGACAGCTTTGATACAGGGTGATTAGGCGTATAGTGTACAAGCTTTATTACCAGAAGGTAACCCTGACTTGTCGTTGAATTTGGGAGGAATTAAAGATACTAACTCTAACTCTAACTATGCTCTCCAAGAGATGGAATTTCGACACACTGCGCGTGGCGATGACCGAGCACTTTTCATGGGCAAACATTGCATCCTGTCTGTGAGGTCAGATTATCTCCGAATCATTCATAACTATCACAGTCAGGGCGTCCAGATAATTTACCTTGATGAATCATTCCACTGACTACATGTGGCTATTGGCAGATGGACAAAAAGGACCCATCGACCATCAGGTAAAGGTCATCGTGTCATTGTTTTGCACGCTGCAACCCATGATATGGGGCTTATTGATGGCTGTGTGCTAGTATTCGAGGCGAAAAAGAAAACTGGTGATTTTCATAAGGAAATTATAGGAGGTGATGTGCTCATAGACTGGTTGGAACTTCAGCTATTGCCTATTTTAAACAACGCCAGTGTTATTGTCATGGAAAACGCCAGTTGATATAACGTCCGGGAATCAGATACTGTCGCCCAAACCATGAGTAGTCTGACGGCGACCATACAGGGATATATGACATTGTCGACTTCAGACCATATGAAACGAAAGTTCAACTCATGGAGAAAATACGGCTGAATAAGAAACCAGTAAAGTACAAGACATATGTGCTGGCGACACAACACGGTTACGTTGTCTAACGTACGGCAGTCAGACATTGTGAGCTCAACCCTGGTGTGCCCATCTTGGCTAAGTGTAACGGGTTCGTGGCAAGACATAACACAACATTCAAAAGTACAGATTCATATACGTCATCAGTGGAGATAAATGCTACCTCAAGAAACCATCTGTAGAACTTCTGGATTCCGAAACCGCAACCTTCCAATACTCATCCCGTTACATAGCTCTCAACTTGTCCATCATGTTTCCAAGCAAATATAAGCCAGTAAATATCCTAAATTGTTACCCCATCAACGCATGCGAATTAAGTCCAATAACAGCAAAACTTTGAGACCAACTCGGTGAAATTTGCACTTTGGAGAATGCACGGGACGATGTGAGGTCATCACCTCTGGACAGGCGGGGGACACCAGCAATGGGCTTCACACATTGTAACCATGTCGGGAATCGAAGCCGGGTCTTCGGCGTGACGAGCGCTAGTCATATGGCTTAAATACTGCCGATTGACATTTTGACTCACTCACTCATTCACTCACTTACTCACTCATCGATCAAAATCCCAGTTTGTCCAGAGTCCAGGGTCCTGTATAAATGAACGTGTCTAAAAGCGCCAAGCTAGCTGCGCGGACAAACAGAAGAACCAGTTTAAACCGAGCTCGGTTTTGACAGGTGACATGTAGATTACCCGGAAGTTGAAGCCAATCGTGTTGGGTTCAAGGAGTGCGGCAGTTTAGTGTTGGCATGTCGCCGGTCACTTGTTACGGGTACTGCGGTGAAACAATTTTAGAAAATTCAAAACCAAATCGAGTTTGATTGGGATTCTGCTACCTCACAGGATTGGGTGAGTGAGTACGGTTTCACGCCGCTTTTAGCAATATTCCAGCAATTCCACGGCGGGGGACATCAGAAATGGGCTTCACACATTGTACCCATGAGGGGAATCGAACCCGGGTGTTCGGCGTGACGAGCGAACGCTTTAACCACTAGGCTACCCGACCGCCCCCTATTGCACAAATAAATAGAAGTGCAGATCATCAGCATTTGGTCGTAGGGAGAACTTAGGCAGAATTCTTCTATTAGATGGCATTGTGAGATTTGTTTGTTTGGTTATTTGTCATTTAACGCCGCACTCAGCAATCGTGTTGGGTTCAAGAAGTGCGGCAGTTTAGTGTTGGCATATCGACTCGATGTGTCGCCGGTCACATTTTACAGGTACTGCGGTGAAACAATTTCAGAAAATTCAAAACCAAACCGAGACACCAGAATTGGGCTTTACACATTGTACCCATACGATGACATGCATCAACCAAGTCAGTGAGCCTGACCACCCGATCCTGTTTGTAAAAATGTTTATACAATGGCCGTCTTCTTCTACGTCAACGCATGCGGTTGATGCATGTCATCGTATCCCAATTGCTTGGATCGATGCTAATGATGTCAATCATTGGAATGTCTGGTCCAGACTCGATTATTTACAGACCGCCAAGATATCTGTAATATTGCTGAGTGCGGCGTTAAACAACAAACAAATATTATAAACAACCCACCACGGTCCAGTCAGTAAACAAACTAGATTTGACCCGGATGTACTTGGCAATCCGTCCGTTGTTGATATGTCCTCTTTTGTAGCTGTGGTGTGTTCTAACTATAACGCGACGAGCGCTCGTGCGAGTTGCTAGATACTCATATATCTTTTGTAAACACTGATAATGTCTATATACCATGCTACTTCAAAATGAAACCGACTGCGGAAATTACACATTTCGCCCGGACGCAATCGATATCGCCAACCGCGACATCAGGGGGTTCCCCTCTGACGTCAACGTAGTTTCATTTCCACGAAAAAGTCGTTACACATAAGGATTTATTATGTACGAATGTGTGTAAAAATCACAGGAGATATGTTTTCGCCCTGCTACAACATGGTAAGGAATGTTTTAAACATTACTGTACAAGTTGAATAAGAATTTGTAACCACAACAATTCAGGAAGTCGATTCTATACAGAAATAGTTTTCGCGTGATCATACGTCACAGGATTACACGATGTAATAGCATGGTTTTACAGTTACAATTGACGTATTAATTGATATTAATTGGTTGATGCAAACTTGTTATTCGCTTAAGGCTATTAACCACGTTATTATTTATCACATTTTGGGGTAGTGAAATGGCCGAACAATCACTGCTATAGAAACACACGGTCGGTGGTTAGAATATGTCCACTCGGATCTATTTCAATAAGGTGGGTGAGGTGAAATTGGGTTTAACTTCGGGTCCAAGATTATTGCACTTCTATAGCGACGTGCATGCACGTGTGTGTTTGTGTGTGTGGCTGCCTGTACTTGACCGGACTGACGCCGATTTATAGTGCTAGCTCACTGAGATACCATGCCGCAGTTTAACATGAATACCCCACTCAGACACAGTACACTGACTCCGAGCCGACCAGTCCTTGTTTTAGCCCCTTAATGCCGAGCGCCTGACAGGGTAACAACAAGTACCATCTTTTAACGTGTTTTGGTATCGAACCCCGGACCTACCACTAGACCACGGAGGCGGTCCTATTTCAGTAAAGGTCTCGTGACATGAGACGGGAAGTCCGAATTTGACGACACGATATGAATCGAAAGAGAAACACAGACTTCATTGTATTGTGATGCTCGCGATGGGGAAGGTTGGTTGGTTGGTTTGTTGTTTAACGCCGCACTCAGCAATATTCCAGCTATATGACGGCGGTCTGTAAATAATCGAGTCTAGACCAGACAATCCAGTGATAGATATCATGAGCATCGATCCACGCAATTGGGATCGATGACATGCATCAACCAAGTCAGCGAGCCTGACCACCCGATCCCGTTAGTCGCCTTTTACGACAAGCATAGTCACCTTTTACTGCAAGCTTGGGTTGCTGAAGACCTATTCTACCCCGGAATCTTCACGGGTCGCGATGGGGAAGGAGATTTGAAAGAACATACGACTTAGAAATGCTATTCTGTCAAATATATTTGGTGCAGGATAATCGGTCAAACTGTAGACTTAGTGCCATTTCTTTACACATTTCAATTACTTTTAAAATTGAAATTTTCAGTTTTTCTCAAAACCCATATTTTGACAGTATTCCGGTCATATCACGGCGTGTCAGTTTAACGAAGGAAAAAAGCCCGAAGTGATGCAGGTCTCAGATACAAACACATATTCCATGGATGCCTTTTTTTAAACTACTAACTTGATGTACATGTATTTTCTGCGGAATTCTAGTTTCTACAACAAAATGTGTAGAAATAATGGGCGCTGTGGTAAACTGGTCCATTTAAAATTGAGAGAAAACACTTTGACGGGGCGACAGACCCTACAAAGGATGGTTAAGCTATAATTTCAGTGTATAGCCGCACAGGATTATTGAGTAATCAATAAATTACGTTAAACGCTGTTTCAGATGAAATGTAATTGCGATGGGTCACTTAAGTTGCTGACCCTGCACAGACCAAATGTCCAGAAATTTGTCACTGTCCAATATCTTGAAACAGGCCTGTCACCGTTCTTGAATCCAGAATAGCGTTGGAAGCTGACATGAATTCGGTGTTCCCAATAGCTATCCAAACCGTAATTGGCATGTAGATGAAAAAACAAAAACAAGTCAAGTCGAAAAGACCTCGAATCGCCCCCTTGTTGCTCATATATAGGCACATCCAGCCTTCTAGAAACTGCCCCATCCAGAAACTTCTCGAACGAACAACCCTGTCATCTTTATCTATACAACCAGGGGCGCATAACTCTAAATTCCATTCAGTCGCTGTTGTCGACCGCGGTTCAAATCTGGCTCGGGTAGCACATGGTATTTTGTACCAGTTGTTTAATCATCTCCTTCACCCGACAATTAGCACAAATACATTTACTAAAACCACTAACATTACTTACACAAAATAAAATATAAAAAATGAAAACCTTTTGTGACTTAATTGTGTTCTGGAAACGAGCCAATTTGCTTCCTTGAAATTGCGCAAAATCTACAAAAGTGCTATATTCCTGAATAGTAAAGGGCCCCAGCCCAGCACTGACCTGATGATTATACATAGTTTCACAATTAATACAGAATACGCACAGCTGAAGGGTTATGCTCTGGAAAAGAAATATTCTAATTTTAACATTCCAATTGTCCGATTGGTGGCCTTGAAAAAACACACAAAAAACCCTCAAATGTACAAATAGCAAAAGGGAACCCGTTTTCCAATTGTACAGCAATTTTTTTTTTTGAAGAAATATTGCACAGTTAATGAGAAGTTCAGGAAACTAAATGAGACGGACGGACGGACGGGGCAAGTATCTCTATCCCCGCTTGGTGGGTTGTAACACGTTTTATATGACACGGAAATAAAATCGTACTGTAAACTACGCGTTATTGTTTGTTAATGAGTTGTGGTTCAATATTTGAACTCGGGAACATTACAAAAATAGGACCTGTTAACATGAAGCGAACGAGTACAGTTAAATGTAAATAATCACGTGCGGTCTTGTGATCAATAAAAAACATTCATTTATTTCGTTCCGCTCATAACTTTAACTTTCACCTCAGAAAACAGAAAGTCCTAACACCATAACATTATCCTGTTCGCAAACTCCGGTTTTGAACAATATTCCACTGTGGCAGGTATATAACAGCGTGTCAGCTTGACATGAAAAGAAACTGCGGCCTGAAGCGATGCAGGTCCTACACGTTTAATGCTTGGTGAAACCCACGAGCAGGGATATGGTGCTGACAAGCAAGATCCCTAATCATGGCAAATCTAGAATTCGAACCTTCGATCATAGTATTCTAGTTGCACAAGGGACGCAACTCTTCACAACGAATTGCGGCGTTTTAGGGGACGTGACCACATCCCACAGTGACTAGACTATGGTTTAGTTAATATTTGAACATCAAGAGTTACATGACATATTTAGCGGGCAACTATGTCCCTGTAAAATAAAAAAACACGTCTTTTGTTTCCGGATTTAACAGCTATTGTACATATTGTATGTTGTATTTATTTTCCGACGAAACATGTTTCCTTTATTATTTGTTTGGCACACTCAAAGGCGGATCCAGAGGTGGGGTCCAATAGTTATTTAACTGCCCGACCCTCTCCTCTGATTCTTCACGGGGGCACGGGTTGCCCAGTCGTCTGAGGCGCCGCGATTCGCTGTGTAGAGTTGCGTCCCTTGGGCACGCCAGAAACCTATGATTGTGGGTTCGAATCCCGGTTCGCCCCGATCATGTTTCTAGGTTTGTCAACACCATACCCGTGCTCGTGGGTTTCACCGAAGTGGTAAACGTCCGAGACCTGCATCACTTCGGGCTATCCTCCCATATTAAGCTGACACGCCGTGATATAACAGGAATAATGTTAAAAGCGGCGTTAAGCCCACTCACTCACTCACTCACTCACTCACTCACTCACTCACTCACTCACTCACTCACTCACTCACTCACTCACTCACTCACTCACTCACTCACTCACGCACTCACTCACTCACTCACTCACGCACTCACTCACTCAGACTCTTCGCCTTATAAACTACCGGTCAAAGTACACTCCCGTGTTTGATGGTGGCTAAAACAAGAGCTGGTTATTCGATGGTGATGTATTTAATACGGGCATCATAGTTGTGTTTTCAACCTGCAGTGTTGCGGTGACTGTTTATGATATGATTGCGACCGTCTTGAGTGAGTGAGTGAGTGAGTTGGGTTTAACGCCGCTTTTAACAGTATGACAGTTGTATCACGGCGTGTCAGCTTAATGTGGGAGGAAAGCCCGAAGTGATGCAGGTCTCAGACGTTTACCACTTCGGTGAAACCCACGAGCACGGGTATGGTGCTGACAAACCTAGAAACATAATCGGGGCGAACCGGGATTCGAACCCACAGTCATAGGTTTCTGGCGTGCCCAAGGGACGCAACTCTGCCCAGCGAATCACTGCGCCTTAGACGACTGGGCGACCCGTGCCCCCCGCGACCATCTGGAGGAACATACAATGTTCATCAGGAATTGATGTCAATTTTATATGTCGATATTTCCAAAAGTTTTGTTTGTTTGTTTTTTAACGCCGCATTCAGCAATATTCCAGTATATTACGGCGATCTGTAAATAAACGAGCCTGGACGAGACAATCCAGTGATTGACATCATGAGCATCGATCAAACGCAATTGGGATACGATGACATGCATCAACCAAGTCATCGAGCCTGACCATCCGATCCCGTTAGTCGCCTCTAACAAGCATGGTCGCCTCTTATCACAAGCATGAGTTGCTGAAGACCTGTTATAACCCGGATCATCACGGAACTTATATTTCCAATAGATGCATGGAATTTCGGAATATATGAACATTAATAAAGGGTGTCTTTGTCCCAGGTGTATGTTTGTTTGGTTTCTTCATTCATTCTTCATGTTTGGATATTTCATTCGCAGGACACAATGAAGGCATTGGACACGCTTCGGACAAATGCTGATGTTATAGCCAAAATAGTCACTGCAGGAGACGCTCACTGTCGTCTCAACACACAGCACATGATCAGTTACTTGAACCGATGTGATATTAAGGTAAGTGTAACATTAGGATACAAATCACATGGCCCCTGAAGATCCGGGGTAGGAAAGGTCTTCAGCAACCTATGCTTGCCGTAAGAGGCGACTAACGGGATCGGGTGGTCAGGCTCGCTGACTTGGTTGATGATGCATGTCATCGTATCCCAATTGCGTAGATCGATGCGCATGATGTCAATCACTGGATTGTCTGGTCCAGACTCGATTATTTAGTGTAAATAATTGTGTCTGGACCAGGCAATCAGGTGATTGATATCATGTACATCGATCCGCGCAATTTGGGATATCGTCGAATCACACCTAGCTTCAATACTGACATGGTACTTCTGGATATTGCTGAGCGCGGCGTTAAACATCAAACAAACCATCGGTTTTAGACCTTACCTTCGTTGGAGTACTTCACTCATAACACACGTGAAGATCCGGGGTAGAATAGGTCTTCAGCAACCCATGCTTGCCGTAAAAGATGACTATTCTTGTAAGAGGCGACTAACGGGATCGGGTGGTCAGGCTCGCTGACTTGGTTGATGATGCATGTCATCGTATCCCTATTGCATGGATTGTTACTCATGATGTCAATCACTGGATTGTCTGTTCAAGACTCGATTATTTACAGACTGCCGTCATAAAGCTGGAATATTGCTGAGTGCGGCGTTAAACAACAAACACGTATTCTGTTTGGCTCTGTGTAAATGTTTCAATCATGGTATACCAGTTCGAACCATTGATGCTGAAGTGAAAACAACAACAATCATATTTTATTAACAGGTGGATGACGTTGAAAAACTGCGTGTCATTCATGTCAGCGGCACAAAGGGCAAAGGGTCAACTTGCGCTTTCTGCGAGAGCATTCTTCGTCACCATGGCTACAAGACAGGCATGTTCAGGTACTAAATGCGAACCCAAACTTTGAAATTAAAAAAAGGAGGGTTAATCTTAAACAGTGTTAATATTTTTGGACACCTGTACGTTGAAAACATTGTGGAATGTAACCTTTTATATTTATTCTGTTTAGAACGTTTTGGTTTTGTTACTAATAACGTGATGTCATTATATTGATGTAAATACGCCCGGAAAGAAGTGAACAACAATAACTATATATTTCCATTTTAAAAAGCCATTTTTAAAATGCATCTGTGTTACATTTCTGACGAAATATATTAGTTTTGTATTTTTTACAATATGACATTCATATTGTAGAAATGCAGAAGCCAAAGTCGATAAACTAATGACATGTTTTGTAACTTTTTAATGACAATAGTAACTTTACAACTTCCTTCTTTGGTCTGTCAACCCGTGAAGATCCGGGGTAGAATAGGTCTTCAGCAACCCATGCTTGCCGTAAAAGGCGACAATGCTTGTCGTAAAAAAGGCGACTAACGGGATCGGGTGGTCAGGCTCGCTGACTTGGTTGATGCACGGTCATCGATCCCAATTGCGTGGATCGATGCTCATGATCTCAATCACTGGATTGTCTGGTCCAGACTCGATTATTTACAGACCGCCGTCATATAGCTGGAATATTGCTAAACAACAAACCAACCAACCAACCAAATCTTTGGTCTGTCTGTTTTTTGCATCACATGATATGACTCAGTACTTGTGGCCATCTGGAGAAACATGCAGTGTACACCAGTATCCGTGGTATTAGACAGTTATCAAAATATGATCAATGCTATATGTAGGTATTTCCAATAGACACGTGACAGTTCGGGATATAAGAAAATAAAGAGTGGGTGAGTAACGCCGCTTTTAACAGTATTACAGTTATATCCGGCGTGTCAGCTTAATGTGGGAAGAAAGCCCGAAGTGATGCAGGTCTCAGACGTTTACCACTTCGGTGAAACCCACGAGCACGGGCATGGTGCTGACAAACCTAGAAACATAATCGGGCGAACCGGGATTCTGAACCCACAATCATAGGTTTCTGGCGTGCCCAAGGGACGCAACTCTGCACAGCGAATCGCGGCGCCTAAGACGACTGGGCCACCCGTGCCCCCCAGAAAATATAGAAAGGACGGTGCTTACATTTGTTCATATATACATGTAACACGCAACAATATTTATATGTGTATTGTTGCGTGTTACGTGTTGATTCCCAAATTGAAACAATGTGTTTATCCAGAAATCAGTACGTAATAGAACTTAGTGTGAAACCAACAAACAAACAACAAGCGGTATACAACCAACAAATGTTTTACAAAATTCACTTAGTTTACATATCAATACAAATTACTGCACAGCAATTACAATGGCAGTTAACAATAGAGTGGTAGTACAATATTCAATTGCAATAAATATTATGATGACAGTGGTCAGTATCAAATACAAAAATACAGTGGTGATAGCAAAAGTCAGTGATAATATTATCCATATTCACTCACCGGCGACAGTGGTCAAGCTTATGGCCAAACACAATGGAAGGAGCGTCAACCGAATCTCAATTGAAACAATATAACAGTTACTAGCTTTGTTAAACAATAAAATACACTGCCGTGCAACAATATACTGGTATAAAATCAGGCGTTGCCATGGTTTCAGCTCTCCACACCTAGTAACAATCCATGAGCGGTTCCGTCTGAATGGGAATCCTGTTTCTGAGGACTTGTTCTGCAAATGCTTCTGGGAAGTGTACAACAAGCTGGAAGCTACCAAACCACAGGTTGAAGGTGTAGGTATTCTCAGAATCCAGACCATTTCTTACGCGATATGATAACATTAATCTTTGAGACCCTGTGATGTTGATGGGTTAAATATCCGGAAATTTCATTTGATAACACCTGAAAATCTGAAAACACTATGCTTGTCGTAAAAGGCGACTAACGGGATCGGGTTGTAAGGCTGGCTGACTTGGTTGATGCATGTCATCGATCCCAATGGCGTGGATCGATGCTCATGACATTAATCACTGGATTGTCTGGTCCAGACTCGATTATTTACAGACCGCCGTCATATAGCTGGAATATTGCTGAGTGCGGCGTAAAACAACCAACCAACCAACCACCCAACTGAAAACCGATTTTCATCGACATTTATATTAGCAGTCCTTAATTATCAAAAGCATCCTATTAAATGTAATCGGGTAAGTGAAGTGTTTAAAAGCCGTATCAGTAATCTCGCCGCTATTCGCATTGGGGAATAAAGATGTAATCGGCTGGCCCAAAAAACTATAAATGAAGGTGTGTAAAGAAGAAAGAAATACAGTAAAGGTGGTGAAATGGGATAAGAAGGCTTAGTGACAGAATATGACGCTGTAAGAAAACTAATCTATTGGGAGCACCTAATGGGAAAGATTATGATTTAAAGTGATCAGTTAGGCTGATATGCTAGTATAATAATATAACTACTATGAAATAATAATAAAATAAAAGTGGTGGGTTGGGAAACCTACTCTAATAAACGTTGGGCCTGCTTGGTTATGGGGGGAGGGGGGGGGGGGGGGGTGACGCGGGAGTCATGGGGGGCTGGGGTGGCAGTAGTGAGCGAGTTGGCTTGGCTTGGGTTGGCGGCTGGATTAACGAGCATGGTTATATGTGGCTGGATGTGGGCGAATTTATCGCGCGGACGTCGGAGAAGGAAATCCGCGCTAGGAATTTGGATTCCGATCCTAAATTGCAAAAGTGGTGATTTTGTAGATGGTGGTTTTAGCTGAGATTTGTTGGGATGGTTCTAATCACCTTAACACTCCAATGGATTTATAGCGCGTAAAAGATCATTGCATGGAGGCACACGCATTGAGTATTTGTCATATCGGAAATGTAAAAACAACACAGACGTAGAGGAGACTTCGGAAAGTGTGCAAAACACCTTCTTAATTTGACATCTACTTAATGCAAGCAACATCCGCCATTCGTCACACAGCCCTCAGTCAACATTAGGCTCGTAATAATGACATGCGAAAATAAAATACCGCGATTGATTGTTTTACTTTTCAGCCATGTTGCTGACGCCATAATGGACGAATGTAGCCGACTTTCTCTCCGTTACTCAGTTTTGTCGATATTTGTCATCAACTTTGAAAAGCTTTGAACTCAAGTTTCAGAAGGTTTGAGCACAATTTCCGCGGACAATCTGGGCTATATATACTTCTGAGTTTAACAGATAATATGAAGTGAAGTGCCGCCAGTGTCAATGTTTCATTGCAGGTGTATATCACATGTCGTACAAATGGCTTATTTCCCTTCAGGAATCCGAAGACTGTCCGATGCCTGACTATTTCTCCTTCCTCACCGTCATGGCTTGCCACATGTTCCTCGAGGAAGACGTTGACGTGGCCATTTTTGAAGTCGGCATGGGTGGAGAATATGATTCTACCAATTTCCTCCAATCCCCAGTTGTGTGTGGAGTTACCTCCCTTGGGTTAGATCACACTGAAGTCCTTGGAGACACAATAGACAAGATTGCTTGGCATAAAGCAGGGATTTTCAAAGTAATATTTTCAAATGTAAACTTTCACAGCCGTTTTAAAAATAAAGTGGTCTTAACTAGTTTTAAGCATCATTTAATGTTAAATATAAATATTTATTATAAAATATATCCAACACCCTTTCGATAACAATCAGAAGCATCTGCTGAAGGCATGGTCCACTGTAGAATTATGAGCATGTGAGCATGTATGCATGTATGCATGTATGTATGCATATATGCATGTATGAATTAATGCCCATATCCTGTAAATTATGCAATTGTAATCTAATGTTGTTACCATGGTTACAGCGTAATGTACCAGCTGTCACAGTGATGCAGCCAGCAGATGCCATGATGGTGCTGTTCCACAAAGCGAGGGAGAAAGGGGTAGGCTGATAATGAGTATCTGGTGTTGCAGAGATGAGGAATATTGGTTTAATCAGCGCTTCAACACACACATTCTCTTTTCTCCGAAAGGAGGAGTCAAAAGAAAGACCTTCCAGAACGTAATTTTGAAGACATTACCATTCCTCTTTTGTACTGGATTCCAAAGCTCCATCAAAGTCCGAACAAAGAGTGAGTGAGTGAGTGAGTGAGTTGGGTTTACCGCCGCTTTTAACAGTATTCCAGTTATATCACGGCGTGGCAGCTTAATGTGGGAGGAAAGCCCGAAGTGATGCAGGTCTCAGACGTTTACCACTTCGGTGAAACCCACGAGCACGGGTATGGTGCCCATACAAAGAGAGACATATTGCTGGATCGAGCAAATGTACGGCCTAATCCCTGTCTCAGCGAACAACCATAACCCTTAATACAATCAAGGAAGGACTTTCTTTTTATTCACAGAAAGTATTTGAGATTTCAAAGAGCGTCATACAACTCAGAAGTTGTTTGATCACGGTTACAACGTTCAAGGCCTCATAAAAGCTTTCAAAGGGTTCATAGTAGACACGAGGGGGACATTTCCAAATTTAACGCATCAGTGAAAAAAAATATGTCCGATGCAATTCCCATTTTTGACTTGTACCACATGTTGCGGTGTGTTTTTTCAGGCGAACAGTTGACTTGCCTCTGCATGTGTTTGTGACGGTTGCCACCGGTGGGGCAGGATACGCTCACCTTCTCGAACACCTTGTTTTATCACTATTTGACAGATTTGAACTAAACACATGCTCATGATAAAGTCGGAATTGTACAATCGACTCTGTTTTGGGCAGAAATGTCTTATGAATATGAAAAGTGTTTTGTCGCCTTTGTTTTCCATCATGTCCAGCGAAAGTTCCAATTGGTTTTTTTCAATCATTTTCTGGAACAGATTACTTTTTACCAAAAAGAGTAATATTTATCAAAATTGTAGATTGCATGCCACATGTAACTGACATTTCTATTCTAATAAGAAACGCACTTCTGATAAGAAATACAAGTTAAGATTGTCAAATGGTTATTCTCTTCAATCTAACATTGGAATACTAGTACCTACATGTAAATTATCTACAGTAGGCTTAAGCCTTTTATGCGCAAAGATATGACATAAATAAAGGTCCTCGGAATCGTGTGACCCCTATTATTCAAGCCTTGGACCCCCATATTCAAGCCTTGGAACCTCATATTCATGCCTTGGATCCCCAAATTCATGCCTTAGACCCACATATTCATGCTTTAGACCTCCATATTCAAGCCTTAGACCCCCATATTCATGCCTTAGACGTCCATATTCATGGCTTGGATACCCATATTCAAGCCTTGGATCTCCAAATTCATGCCTTATACCCTCATATTCAAGCCTTAGACCCCCATATTCATGCCGTGGACCACCATATATAAGCCTTGGGCCCCCAAAAATATATTACTGAGATGACCATGGACGCGAAAACAGACATACACCAGTACAACGTGTGACTGAATAAATATGCTTCCACTTCAGGCGAGTCTTTATGTGGCACCGCCTCCAGACAACAGTGAAACGGAAGAAGTCCATCTAGGTATTGCTGGGAGGGTCCAGAGATCGAACGCCGCACTTGCCTTACAGCTTTGTCGTATATAGCTGGACAGTCACGATAAAGGTTTGTTTCTTTGTTGTTTAAAGCCGCACTCAGCGATATTCCAGTGATTGACATCATGAGCACCGATCCACGCAATTGGGATACGATAACATGTATCAGCCAAGTCAGCCAGCCTGACCACCCGATCCCGTTAGTCGCCTCTTACAACAAGCATAGTCGCCTTGCACAATTAAGTTAAAAAAGGGCCACTCATAGGTTTTCAAATTGGTTTGAGGTGAAATGGGGTTGGACGTGTGTGCTTGTGCTAGTCCGGACTGAGGCCGATTTATAGTTTAACATGCATACCCAACTAAGACACTGTAAACCGACTCTGAGCCGACCAGTGTTTTAGCTCCTTAATGTCGAGCGCCAGACTGGGTAACAACAAGTACCATCTTTCAACGTCTTTCAACACGGGAAAAAAACACGGGAACAGATGGTACAAGTCAAAATAGGGAATTGCACTGGACATCATTTTTTTCACTGATGCGTAAAATTTGGAAATGTCCTCCACGTGTCTACTTTGAAACCTTTTGAACGCTTTACAGAGGCCATGCTTGTTGTAGCCTTGATCAAACAGCTTCTGAGCATAAGTGGTATGACGCTCTTTGACATCGTGGTACAAAGAGCATGGTCGATTGTACCTCAAAAGTTGTGAAATGTAGACACCATGGGCTGGAGGTGGAGGAATATTGCTCGTCATGAAGGGAAAGTCGACTATCACGGCGTGTCAGCTTAATGTGGCAGGAAAGCCCGAAGTGATGCAGGTCTCAGACGTTTACCACTTCGGTGAAACCCACGAGCACGGGTATGTTGCTGACAAACCTAGAAACATAATCGGGGCGAACCGGGATTCGAACCCACAATCATAGGTTTCTGGCGAGGCCAAGGGACACAACTCTGCACAGCGAATCGCGGCGCCTTAGACGAATGGGCCACCCGTGCCCCCTTATGTTATATGAGGCCTTGTCAGGTGGAACTACAACCTTTCCATACAGGGCAGTCAGATGTTGGATGACAGCTGGTTGGGGCCGGATGGGTTTGCTCAATTTCGGTTTCCTCTTTGTCAGTTTGGGCATTCTACCAAGGACAACATCACACACTGACTTAACCCACTCTGAAAGACATTCAACAGGTTCTTCTCCTTTGGCCCATTTTTGGCATATGCTTCGACAGCATCCATAATGTGATTTTATGGTTGTGTTTTTAACGTTTTGAGGATGCCGTTGTAGGAGGGTAAACTCGATTTGGGGATAGTTCCATATCGGTCTGGGGCGGCATTGCATTTCCGCATAACATTTTCATATTGAGTTTCTGTTTTCAGCTTCCATCTACTTACTGTTCTCTCTATGTCAGAGGGGCGGTTGGTTACCCTGGTGTTAAAAGCGTTCGCCCCTCACGTTGAAGGTCCGGGTTCGGGCCCTCACATGGTTAACAAGTGATTACCAAACTACAGTAAACTACGGTTATAACGAACACGCTTATAACGAACTGACGGATATAACGAACTTACTTTTTTGGTCCCGACTATTTGCTGCAGTTATGCTGTATATATGCTTATAACGAACTACGGTTATAACGAACTAAAATTAGTAGTCCCTTTGAGTTCGTTATAACCGTACTTTACTGTATTGCTCAAAGCGGCGTGAAAACATACTCACTCACTCACCGGCTCTCTATGGCAGGTGTGTACAGGAGACGATGGGTTTACGATCAGTCAGATCTACATGACTGGGACGAGCTTCCAAGATTAGCCGGATCTGTTCTGTCAGAAGAAATGAGAAATGGTTTGTAGGCTTACATTTTTATTTGCAGATAATATTACTTTCACATAAGGAGAGTTAGATATTCAGATAAAACCAGTCGACTAAGCTTTGATGCAATTGTTCCTCATTCCATCTTTTATCGATATTAATATATAACCTTTATTCCATCGGGTTTCAGGTTTGTCAGCATGCTACTGGCCTGGCCGTAACCACACACTGAGTCGACCTGGCGTGACGTATTATATGGACGGAGCTCACACACTGGAGAGTGTGCAGGTGAGCTAACCGACAAGTAACTGTAGCTTCAGTTTTGGCATTTTTCATAACCAAACCTCCCTTAAAACTGCCCCTGTCCCTAAACTTTAAATATTATTAATCCATGTGAAGAAGGGACCTTTTCAAGTCGAATTTCATTTTTGTGCGACATTCCAACATTTTATCCACGTCATGCTACACATAATGTGTCAGATGCGCAAGGGGAACCTACTCGTCTGCTCCATGGCCTCGGGCCCACCGCTTCATACACCGAGCAGTTGGTGTGAGTCCACAGAGGTCACGTTGTACATTAGTGTCAAGTCTTTTTTTCTCAGTTTGTGACCTACTTAAATATTGTAAAGTAATGTAAGTCATTGATTAAGTGAGTGAGTTGGGATTAAAGCTGCGTTTAACGGTATTCCAGTTATATCACGGCGTGTCAGCTTAATGTGGGAGGAAAGCCCGAAGTGATGCAGGTCTCCGACGTTTACCACTTCGGTGAAACCCACGAGCACGGGTATGGTGCTGACAAACCTAGAAACATAACCGGGGCGAACCAGGATTCGACCCTACAATCATAGGTTTCTGGCGTGCCCAAGGGATGCAACTCTGCACAGCGAATCGCGGCGCCTTAGACGACTGGGCCACCCGTGCCCCCAGTCATTGATTAAGAGTCAATAGGTTAATATTGGTAACTTTCCGGAGTCTGGCCCTACACCTTATCATTCTCACCTTTACTAAGAACCAAGGACTCCATACGTCATAATATCTCCATACATCATATCTTGATATGTCATAATATCCCCATACATCATGTCTTGATATGTCATAATATCCCCATACATCATATCTTGATATGTCATAATATCCCCATACATCATGTCTTGATATGTCATAATATCTCCGTACATCATATCTTGATACGTCATAATATCTCCATACATCATATCTTGATACGTCATAATATCTCAATACATCATATCTTGATACGTCATAATATCTCCATACATCATATCTTGATACGTCATAATATCTCCATACATCATATCTTGATACGTCATAATATCTCCATACATCATATCTTGATACGTCATAATATCTCCATACATCATATCTTGATACGTCATAATATCTCCGTACATCATATCTTGATACGTCATAATATCTCCATACATCATATCTTGATATGTCATAATATCTCCATACATCATATCTTGATACGTCATAATATCTCCGTACATCATATCTTGATACGTCATAATATCTCCGTACATCATATCTTGATATGTCATAATATCTCCGTACATCATATCTTGATATGTCATAATATCTCCTTACATCATATCTTGATACGTCATAATATCTCCGTACATCATATCTTGATATGTCATAATATCTCCGTACATCATATCTTGATATGTCATAATATCTCCTTACATCATATCTTGATATGTCATAATATCTCAATACATCATATCTTGAAATGTCATATCTCCGTACATCATATCTTGATATGTCATAATATCTCCATTCATCATATCTTGATATGTCATAATATCTCCATACATCATATCTTGATATGTCAAGATATCTCCGTACATCATATCTTGATATGTCAAGATATCTCCTTACATCATAACACCTCCATAGTTCAAAATATTTCAAAACATAATAATATCTCAATCAATTATATGGCCATATATTATAATATCTCCGTACATCATAATATAACACATATAATAAGTGACGGACTTGGATTTTGTCTGGAGATTAGTAATTTTTTCAGCAAAGAAATGTAATACTATACATGGCCGTGAAGTCTTGACGATCCTATCATTCTGATGTACCATGGTCTGTGCCAGCAGTGTAATACAAAACATACCCGTGAAGTATTGACGATGCCACATATTGATATGCCATATTCTGTGTCAGCAGCAATGTATGGAATGGTTCCAAGAAGCATCCAAGACAGAAGCGATTAAACACGAGTGAGTCTTGTATTTGTTAATTGGGTTCATGACTGCTACATACACTCTTAAAAAAAAAGAAACGCACAGGTAGTATGTAGTTTATTAAACATGGCAACATCATATGATATATGTTATTGGAAAATGTTGGTGGGTTGATATTCTACAAACGGTGCGTCAAGATGCAGCCATTGTCGATTTGCAATGTCTTAAACGGCATTGTTTTTAAACTTGTTTAAAAATGACAAGGAGGAAAACAGTAAAGCTCAATGCACCTGCAAGTTATGACATTCGTAACTCGTGGTAGTGGCTTTAAAACGGCAAGCATTAGCCAATAATTTGTCATTCAATTGTCAACATTTGTCAAGTTTGAAAATGCCGAGACCCAGCGCTGTCGATCGGAACATCGCCCTAGGACGTATCCAAAGAGAGGAATCGCAGTCTTCTGTTGCACGCCACTTCATTGTCCACCACAGCACCATTTGCCGCCTGTTGGACCGATACACACAGTTCAATTCAACTGCAGACCGCCCAGGAACCGGCCGACAATGAGTTACCACCCCTGCACAGGATCGCTATATTCGCCTGTTCTACCTACAATGTACGTCATAACAATGCCACAGCTACGGAGACTGCAGGACGCATCCATGGTTTGAGGAGGATATCGGACAAGACTGTCAGGAACCATCGAGGCGGGCAACCGACCCAGAAGACCAGTTATCGTCCCTGTTTTGCAACAGATCCATCGACAGCGACGCTTGCGTTGGCACCATACCTTACAGCCTTGGAATTTGAGAAACTGGAGACGAGTGTGGATGAATCTCAGGATTTCTTCTTCACCGGCGAGAAGGAAGACAAGGTGTTTATCGTCGTCGAAATGAGCGTTTTGCCCCACATTGTGTACGTAAATTCGACAATTTCGGTGGCGGTAGTGTCATTATGTTGGGGGCCATATCCTACACCACGAGATCTGACTTGGTTGTGGTTCAGGGAAATTTGACAGCAAATCGCTACATGAATCAATTTCTTCAACCTCACCTTCATCCAATCATTGACCGCCAGAGAGAACTGTTTCAACGGGACAACGCTCCATCTCACACAACTCGTGTCACGGTAGACTACCTTCATAATGCCAACATCAACGACTTGCCCTGGCCGTCGAGATCTCCAGATCTCAACTAGATCGAACACCTCTGGGATGAACTCGATCGACGAGTAGGTCAACGTCAGAACACGCCGCAGACACTCCCACAACTGGCCAACGCGTTACAAGCAGAATGGCGCAGGACAGAATTCGTACACTTATCCAGTCAGTGCCGAGCAGATGCAGAGCCGTCATTGCTGCCCGGGGCGGTCACACAAGATACTGAGTTCAGCGCAACCTTGTGGTCTTATGTGACATGACAATGAACAGTTTTCAATGCATTTGTACAACAACAACATGTGACTATCGAGCTCCAAAATTTCATATTTATATCTATGATATTAAATCAAATATATAGACTTTATTAGGTACAATACATTTACTCAAAATCTACCTGTGCGTTTCTTTTTTGGAAGAGTGTATATTGTATCGTTGGCAATACACGGGCAATATTTAGAGAATATCTTGATATATTGATATATATTGTTTTGACATAGTATTAGGTGTCACTCCCATGTGATTTCCGGGTTAGAAAAGGTCGCCAGCAACCTGTGCCTGTGGCGAGGCGACTAATCTTGAGGAACGTGCAGTAACTAAGAACTTGAAATTGTTGTTTGGACTCAAGCTGGAATAGGTGATCCCAGATCACAAATTGTTGCGAAAACCTTTCTGGATAAGATTCAAACAGAGATAGATCACCACCTGGTGCGTTACTGAGCTGTGATAATAGAATGTACTCTTTTCTGGGAAATGCCCACTGAACTAGCAATATGACGCTCAGTCATTTGCCGGTCGGTCGTCACTATATAGTGGATTCTCTGCATCATTTCTTGTGTTGCTGACGTCACAGGCCTTCCAGGGAGGGGGTCTTCTGCTGCTGCTGCTGCTGCTGCTGCTGCTGCTGCCAACGTTTTTACAATGACACAGGTGTTGTAGTCTTTTCATGGTTGGCTCTTTGATGTTAGGTCCTTTTTCTGCAGGTGCACATTTCTCAGGTTTGTTCGACGCCTGCTTATTGACTGATTTGTCGCAGCGAAACAATTTGCTCAATTTTTGTGCATATACCTCTGTGACATTACATATTGTCTACGAGAAAATATGTTACTACTACACAACTCTTTCAATGTGAGGCTCAGAATCAAACAATCAACCCTCGTATATCCCGATGGCCTGTAAGTAATCGGGCCGTACCATGCAAACCAATGCTTGGTAGACACAGCACTGGGTACAATGACTCACCATTAACCAGGTCACACATTGTGCCCTCCCAATCCTCATTATGTCGGCTCCTACGACAAGTGAGTGAGTGAGTTAGTATTTAACGTCACGTCGGGAATATTTCAGCAATATCGTTTGACATTTATAATATATATATTTAGATTGAATAAACACCTGGCAGCGATGGATAGTATATCTAGAGTATCACAGTTTCGATTTTAAAACTAGTTGAGAATATTTAAAAGACGAAATTCATATACGACAACACAATATACATATGGCCACATCCACCAAAGTGAGGCCACCACACTAGGGACCGTGGGGACTTACGATACTTCTGCTACCTGCACAGTTCCCAGCAGGATTTAAACCATCCCTTCAGCTGCTGGCGATTGAGGGCACGTTTAGGCTTCAGTGAGTGAATGAGTATGGTTTTACGCCGCTTTTAGCAATATGTCAGCAATATCACGGCGGGGGACACCAGAAGTGGGCTTCACACATTGTACCCATGTCGGGAATCGAATCCGGGTCTTCGGCGTGACGGGCGAACGCTTTAACCACTTGGCTACTCGGCCGCCCCTTAGGCTTCAGAGTAAAATGACAAAATATACTACTTTTTAAATTCTGGTATGCATAAAAATACTTTTACATACCCTCTCAGGCGGACAATACGTATACGTTACTATTATGATAAGCACGGGATACTTGCACTAATCCGGCATTCCTTCGGCAGAGTGTAGTGAATTTAATTATTTGTATGCTTTGTTTTGTTTTATTGTTGCTTAATACCACACTCAGCAATATCCCAGGTGCATGACAGCCCTCTGTAAATAATTGAATCTGGACCAGGCAATCCAGTGATTGACATCATGAGCACCGATCCACGCAATTGGTATACGATGACATGCATCACCCAAGTCAGCGAGCCTTACCACCCGATCCCGTTAGCCGCCTCGTACGACAAGCATAGTCGCCTTTTACGGCAAGCTTGGGTTGCTGAAGACCTTTTCTAAGTCGGATCTTCACGGGTCTATTTGTAAGCATTTACAACTACATGAAAGTATTTATGTCTTCCTATGTGACACATTTTATAGCTATGTACCTGTATTAATCTGACAGAGGGGGCGTGTGCCGTATCCTTATCTTCAACGTGACCAAACACCGCAACGTTAAAGCAATGTTATCGATACTGAAGGTAAGATATTTGACAACATATATATCTGTCTGACGTTACATTACTCATTTTAACGCACCTGCATAGAATTTTTAGATTTAGGATCTTTTCTTGTGGTATTGCGTATTTGATGCTCGGAAAAACAAATCCCAAGTAACACAATTTAAGTTAAGTTAAAGTTAAACAGTCGTCCAAGATTCGCCTTCCACATTGTGATATGACTTAAATACGATTCATGGGTGAGTGAGGGGGTCGGGGTAGGTCGACGCTGACAACAGAATTGGAAGTCACCTTTTTCCTGAATTTTTCAGACCGCCTCCGTGGTCTAGTGGTAGAGCGTCCGCCCGGAGAGCGGTAGGTCGTTCGATCCCCGGCCGCGTCATACCAAAAGACGTTAAAAGATTGTACTTGTTGTTACCCTGTCTGGCGCTAGGCATTAAGGGGCTAAAACAAGGACTGGTCGGCTCGGAGTCAGTATACTGTGTCTGAGTGGGGTATTCATGTTAAACTATAAATCGGCATCAGTCCGGACTAGTACAAGCAGCCACACAAACACATACACATACATGCACGTCGCTATATAAGTGCAATAATCTTGGACGCAACGTTAAACCCAATTTCACCTCACCTCACCTCACCTGATTTTTTCAGCCCTTAAATTTTGATGGTGCAGTGTTTTGTCCGAACCTGGCATTCGTAGAAAACTCTTTAAACACACCAGGTGAGATCTATCATTATGATTTATTCTTTATTGTTATTATATACTCTGGCTATTCACCACAGAGAGAATTGACAGTGTAGAATCACGTGTCGGCAGGAGGGAATCTGAGAGATGCAGAATGGGACAGTTATGCTGTGTGCATATGCACACGCTAGGGGTGTCACAATAAATCGAAATATCGATATATTGCTATTGGTAAGCACTTACAGTCAATAAATCGATTGTTTAATCAGTTTCCGATCAATAGTATCGATTTCAGTTAGGAATATCGATAGTTTCGATTGTATTTACCATATCATGTGATTGAGTCACCGAAACACGCTCGCGAACGCATCCGAGTGAGGATTAACTGCCCTTGATGCTTAGCAACCGGTCTTTCTTAAAGTAAAATGGCGGAGGGTGACAGTCAAGTGGAGTTTGTGACAAACTTGGGTGGGAAATGGAGTTTGGAAGTTATCACATTCAAAGGAAACTTCAGTTCCAAGGTTTAATTCAACTCTAAAATCCATCAAAAATGATACACTGAAAACTATCGATATTTATCGCAATAGTTGCTTGCAATATCAATAGTTATCGCAATAGTTTCTTTCAATATGAACAGTTATCGAAAAAGTGATTTCCAGACCAATAGTCACCCCTAGCCCCTAGTCCTATTTTGTTGTGTACTGTTCTTGAATATTCTAGCAGACATATTTCTTTCAAAACCATACATGGATTAATATGGTATTGTATTTCCATAGTAATCACACCTGTTAATGTATCCATCTCTCGACCAGATACACGGCAAGTGTTTTTTCCAGTATACTTTGAAATAGGAATACCAATGTTAAGTTTAATGGTTGAACCGTACTTTCAACAATTTCCCTATGCTGCGCCACGTTAACTTTACGAGTTAAAATTCTGAAATAATACTTCCTAATTCATCTTCCAGCCCAAACAAACAGAAAAGTCAACAGCGATGCAAAACCTCAGGAAAATCGGGAAATCTGGGACCAAATTAAGACTGACTTGGAATCGTCATCGTCCACACACCAGACCCCCTACAACATGCCCCCTCAGTCCCATATCTTCCCCTGTGTCCACCAGGCACTGTGTTGGGCGGGCCAGGGCCGTGACGCCACCCTGACGCAACCCCGCACTGCTGACTTGCCGCCTATATCTGATAGACTGACACGCGCTTCTCAAATACAGATACTCATTACAGGAAGCCTGTATCTGGTAGGGGGCGCTCTCGAGCTGCTGAAGTCGGAGTAACGGTGAAAACCATTAAACATGGTAGGGGCATCATTCTTCTACCATTTAGCCCTGTGTTGGGTTCTGGGTTAGGATAGTTCCCGAGCAAACTATGCTGGTCGTAAGAGGCGACTAAATGGACCGGATGGTCAGGCTCGGTGATTTGGTTGATTGCATATTATCGGACCAGGCGGTAGAAATTGTTGCTCATGATATCAATCACTGTGTTGTCTCGACTATTTCACAAGCCGCCTCCACGGTTGGACTATTGCTGTATCTGACGTAATACAATACCCAAAGACAATCAAGATTTTAACATAATGTACTTTTAATGCGTGAGATGATTGAATATGTGTCGACCCAGTGGGTTAATGCATTACTGTAAAGCTGTGTCCTCGTGACTGAACCACGACATTCTAAATCCGTTATCTAGTTATTTGCTTGCATTACATAATGAATATTGACATTGATCCTGTTGAAGGAGATATTGTCCCCTGCTTCCCTATCTTTGGTCCGGTGATCTTAAGCCTCGTTGTCACAGAAACGACTTGAAGTATTGGTCATTTTTTAGCATTTATACTTAGTTTATTTATTACAAAACTGTGGCATGTACCTTACTGGTTTCCAGAAATTGCAGTAAACTTCTAAAAGACAAGGATGCAGAGTTGGGGACGGGTGCATGTGTCCATATTTAGAATGGACATTTTTCATAATTTCATTCAAAGTGAAGTCACTTCATCCGTAAATTCTTTCTCGGAGATGCTTCTATGATCGGAGGGGCGGTCGGGTAGCCTAGTGGTTAAAGCGTTCGATCGTCACGCCGAAGACCCGAGTTCGATTTCCGACATGTGTACAATATGTGAAGCCCGTTTCTGGTGTCCCCCGCCGTGATATTGCTGGAATATTGCTAAAAGCGGCGTAAAACCATACTCACTCTTTGATGGGAAGAATACTGGAGGAAACATGCTACCATGTGAAGAGCATAAAGCTGATTTGGCACCACATAGAATGCCCCGTGGCGGAAGTCACGCTTCAGCATCACAGAGATGTCGCTCTCTGCCCTGCTTTTGGGAAGTTGGGGAAATCCTTTTCGTCTGACCTGGTAAACAGAAGGTCGGTATGGATGCAACAGCAGTCTTTGTCACCTCGGTCCAGGGATCATCCCACAATCGGTGGACTTTTTCACAGTACAGAGCTGGTGTAGAGCCAATCTCATTAATATTAGAACTTAGTTCTCGCTGCCGCTTAACAAAGAGGACATCCCATTACGGGTCACGTCAGAACGACCTTCTATCCGACCAATCAAAGCGTCGCTTACCAGATCATGAAAGTGACAGTCGGAATGTGTTTTCTAATTATGCAACCTCGAAAACGTTAACACGGAGTATTCGAGCGACAGTTACGGCCCGTTCGACTGATTTCGTCAAAATCTCTCTTTCGGCCATCTTTTGCTTCCGAGGGATAAACATTTGAAAGGAGGAGGCATTGCATAGTACATGGGTAATCGCAACCATATATAAGCCATTCTGGAATGTTTCACTGCAAACACGAAAACGTCGTTTTTTCCCGTATATGGTCATTGGACGGAAAAACGACGTTATTTGGACGTTTTCAAACCATCGTTTTTCCGTCCAAATAACGTCGTTATTTGACATCGGAATTTACTGGGGGAGAACGATAGCGTTAAGCTCCTCCCTTTCTTGATTGGCATTGTCAATCAAGCAACAGCGTCTACCGGTGTTTCTACTTCTCAGATTTCATTGGTCAGTCCCGCGTGTTAGATTACAGGCCCGCGTTTGACGCTGCACTCGAAGCGCTTAGCGGAAGTACTGAAATCAATCGTTCTGCGCATGCGGATTACTTAATGCCTTGACCAAATTTTCCGTTCTGTGCATGCGCGATTTCGCGTATTGTTTCCTAGATTTACTGTCACCGCTATTTGACAATGTTTCATAAACACAGTCACGTGAAGGTTCGGAATCGTAACGAGTAACTCCATTTAAATTGAAGAGGATCCCCAGTGATATGGGAGATTCCAAGATGAAACTATTCTATGGCTATCTAGGCTGCCACCCAAACCGATCTAAACGGGACCCGATAGCTTATCGTATGCTGTATAGTCATATGGAAGTGGACAAGAACTATACATTGTATTCCGGCCGATTGTTCTTGCATTTACTTATAAGTCAGGAAAATGGACTTAAAAGGGGAGTTGTTGAATGTAATTATTTTAATTATTAAATGTTGCCTATACACTAATCTGGACGAACTTCTCATTGTTCTGTTTATGTCATCCTATATACTATTAGTATGTTACCGTTCTAAAGTCAACCTCTCACATAACATTATATTGTTCATAGTATCAAAGTTTAATCAACAATATCAAGAGCAGCGATTTAAACCACTGAAACACCCAAACACAAGGCTGTTATCAAGCGCTAGTGCAGACGTGATGCATCGTAAAAACTGTATCGTGATGTCTTCAGAAATTCAATTATACTACGAGATAGTACGGCTAACGCTGACTCACCGGTGGAACAAAGACAATATCGCTAATACAGATATAACGTATTTGAATGTTAATACTAAAGACAAACAATCATTATTTTTGCAGTGACGATATAACACGTATACACGTTTATTGTTAACTTTCATCAGTTTTGCTCTTCATTTTTATAACTTTGTTTTCACATATATATGTAGCAATACCCGACAAGCATGTCATACATAATTATGGGGCAGTTTTCAATCTTGTACTGACTTACTCTGGTGTTAATGAGCGAAGTTTATTGGCTTGTGTGTAAAACCCCGTTTTTCTGGTAATCCTATTATTACTTAGTTCATTTCTATCTAATGACACCCTGTTCTCTGGATCATGGCTCCGTGACTATCCATAACAGTCAAGATGAACATTCAGTTCAAGTAAATGAATGAGTTTGTTTTGACGCTACAGTAAGTCAAAAAACCAATGATGTGAGGTTTGATAACACACTTCTACCATGTCGAACATCGTGGATCCTCATTTTCTGCCTAAAGAGAATCATAGTTCATATGCTAATCCATCTGCGAATACCCTCCCACTCAAGATGACCTCACATGTTGCTAAATCTATCATCTATCCCCCCAATCTCTACTCGCGCTCACATAAAGTTGTAGTTATTATGTCACTGTTTTATTTCTTTAAAAATATATTACATGTTCAACAATAACAATTAAGATGAACATTCAATTTCCGATATAAGTAAATGAATAAGTGTGTTTTACGCCACAATCAGTCAAAGACCAACGTTGTCCGGTCTGATGACACACAATCTACCAGGTAGCACATTGTGTACACCCTATCCCCATTGAAGTCTCCACTGTGGGTATTCCTGGGGACGAAAAGGCCCCATGTACCTAGGAATTTCATCAATACATTCATGCGCGGCATTCTCTGCCTAAAGAAGATCATATAGTTAACATGCTAATCCAACTCGAACTACCATCCCGCTCAAGATGAATGTTTTAAGTAACATCCAACAGGCCCACATTTACGCACGCACGCACGCACGCACGCACGCACGCACGCGCACACACATATTTGGATTTCACAATCCCTGAATTGAGAAGACGTGCGTTACGAAGCTCCTCCAAGTCATCATCAATATCCGTATATGTCTGTGATATCATTACCCATCCAAAGCCGAATATACATTTATTGTGTTTTCTTGACAACAAATGTTATAATTGGGATAACACTTTCTGAGTAAAGTACAGATGGAGATAATAGACGTTGATGGTTGATTATCAATGGACAAATTAAAGCCAAAACTTAACTTATGAATGATTGGTAATGGGAAATGGACAATGGGCAAACAGGAGGCGGGGTAATCAGCGCCATGCCAGTTATCTGTTGGCTTCCCTTGTTGCGTTCCCTTCTTTGCTATCTTTTTACTTTTGTTGTTCTTACAGGTACAAATATATGTTCTCTGTCTCATATCATTTAATAATATGCACCTGATGAAGGAGAAAGTATATATTCCGAAACGCAGTGTTCCTCCGTTGACATCCATAAATAGTTTTCCTTGTGTGTATCAGTTCGTAATGCCCTTCAAAGACTCAATCTAGCTTTGTTTTTAAATGTGGTGATATTTGCGTAGAATATAATATGGTCATGCCTATATACATTTGGGTCTTTGTCTACATAAGCATTTAGACATACAATTTAGAGCTAAGGACATTGCAAATTCTGCAGGCATGAAGTACATGTCATAGCAAGCTGTGATCTTTATTCATACTTTAGATATTCGAAATGGAGATCTGTAACTGAAGTTTACCGTAATCTTCCGCAACTCTCACCTCCTGACCAGTTGAACGTCTTAGTGCATTCAGATGCCATTGTAAAATTCCAGGCTGCCCCTCTTTCTGTGATGTTTTGACGGATGAAATCTATTGCGTTATAATAATCTCTGTTTGCTGATATATAATATGTACATGTTGTAAAATATTTACGATATGTTAAACGTGTAATTCGATGCATATGCAATGCAATGTGAACATAAGTGCGGATGCACGAAGGCGGTTATAGTCATAGTTATACTGCGATGGATGTAGGGGAATGGTAGAGGGGTGTGTGTATGTATGAAAGCACGAATACCGATACATGAGGGCGGATATAGTTATAGTTCGATGGATGTTGGGGAATGTAGGGAGGATGGATTATGTATGAAAGCATGCGCATGGATCCATGATGGCTGACGTAGACATAATGGTGGGGAAAGAAGAATATGATGTGTGTGTGTGTGTGTGTGTGTGTGTGTGTGTGTGTGTGTGTGTGTGTGTGTGTGTGTGTGTGTGTGTGTGTGTGTGTGTGTGTGTGTGTGTGTGTGTGTGTGTGTGTGTGTGTGTGTGCGTTGTGATACGAGGGTTGGCGAACATGTTGTCAGATGATTGTGTGAGTAAGTTAAGTGGTTGAGGATGTGGCAGGTATGAGTATTGATACATGCAGACTTGGGGTTGGGGGACTGGGTGTGCCTGTACTGAGGTCTTTTGTTTCACTCACTTATAGTGTTTTCTTTCACTCAAATACTGTTTTACGCATTTTAATGACTGAAACTGTAGTGACTCAAAGGTCATACTGGCCGGGCATTCAACATATCTAACCCAACTACATACGTAGCCATTTTTATGGTGTACAATTCTTCTTCTACCTCACACACACACACACACACACACACACACACACACACACACACACACACACACGCATTAATTGTTTTATTAAATGTATCTTCGAGAGTCAGTAAGAAACTAGAAATAACTGCCTTTGTTCGGTAAACCTCACCAAGTTTCAGCTTTCGCCTCTTCCTTTGTGGACTGAGGTTTCACATTTGTAAAATGATCTCTCTTATCTGTCTGTACCATCAACTTAACTGCCCTCACCCCCTGCAGTTTTCCCGTCCCATATTGCCAAGCAGGTGACCCACAAGGAGGAATACCGCCCTCCCTCAGTCCAGTGATACTGTGCCTAGCACAATATGTTGGGGATACGTAGCCTTGCTGTGGGCAAACATTTTGTAACAATTTGGCAAACTTTGATATGTAAACAGCAAATATTATTCAGTTTTATTTCAACAAAAACGGAAAAAGTCGGATCCTACTTATCTTGTGGATACCATAACAATAAATCAAGCCAATATATCGTTTGAGCTGGCATGAATATAAAAAATAATTAGCAAGTCGATAGTCATAATTCCCTCTGTTGGTCCCACGTGAAATGTTCTTCATGAATAGAATAGATGGCTGATAGACGTTCGACCGAATAATATCATTTGCTTACTTCAACTGTTCATCTAATTTCCATGAATGTATGTTACATAGTTCATATGTTCATGGGCTTCTTCACTGAATGTATAGTGTGAAGGACTACTTCACTTGAGGATAAGTAACATAAATAATGATGATAATTATGATAGTATTGCCATTATTATTCCTTCAGATTATTAAAAAAAAAGAAAAAGAGAGAGAGAAGAGGTATGGAGATTGTGAGATTATTTTTAGCATCGGAATTGTTAACATAATTCTTAAATATATTATGTTTTGTTTGTTTGTTGTTAAATGCTGCACTCAGCAACGTAAGGATATTAAAACATTACATTTAGGTTCAGTTGTATTTTTATATTTGTATCATTTTGCAAATGTTACAGAGACCTGATAAGGGATATATAATAATGTATAGTCGCTATTCTTAAAGTAAGAATATGTTAGATTTATCAACCAGAAATATTGCACACAAGAGGATAATCAGATTTCATGACACTATTCAACGTCGAAGTCAACGATATTTGTGTATGTTATTGCTACATGACACGGATACGTCATGATAAAGCAATTAGAAATTGGCATTTGATGATATAAGATAGCTACGCGATAAATCACAAAGAACAAAGAAGGAAGCGATATTTATTTCACGATAAAACATTGTTCTATCATGACGTCATTTATTGAGATTCGAACATGCACTCGCAACTTGAAAAGTAAAATTTGTAAATTTGACCTTATTTTTGAGAGGTATGTGTCTAGTGAGTTGTTCCCAATATATGTTGCTGGAGAATCCGAAAATGAGAGTGATATGACAATCGGTATTGGGAGAAAAGGTACAGATGATTGACGAGAAAATT